ATGAGATCGGGAGAGCTCCTGGGCAGCCGGGGCAGCGCCGGGGCGGCACCGCGCAGGCCAGGGGTCCTTTCCCGCCCCTCCAGAGCCCGCACGTGGAGCAGCTGGTGCCCGGAGCAGCCCTCACCCGAGTTTTCCTCCACGGATTCATGCAGCGTCTGTAGCATTGCAAGCATGAAGCTTGCAGCGGGTGCAGCGCAGCCAGCTCCCGCGGCCAGCCAATGCTGCCACAATGCCTTGGTGGCCCTGGGGACTCTGTGGATGCCTGATGCCATGCAAGGCAGCCAGATAACTCCGCTCTGCCCACAGCCACCTCGCTGCCCCAGCACGTGCCCACGGCCGGCCACCAGCCCTGGAGCCAAACTGCGCTTCGCCAGGTTTTATTAACACAGATAAAGTCCCGGCAGCCCCTCAGAGCCAAGCTGGGCCCCGGCTCCGTCACGCGGGGACCTCCGTCTCCTCCTGCGGCCGCTCCTTGGTCTCCAGGGCCTGGCGCGTGTCCACCTGCCACTGCTGCACCAGGTCCGTGGGGGTCTTGCCCTCCTGGGAGCGCGGGCAGAGGGTGGTTGGGCACGAGGCCGGCCAGGCCAGCGCGGGCCTTCACACGCTGCCGTGCTCACCATGTTCCTAGCCATCATGTCGGCCCCGTGCAGGATGAGCATCTTGATGATCTTGTAGCGGCTGAGGCGTGTGGCATCGTGCAGAGCCGTGTCACCTTCCTGCGGGAGGGACAGGCAATGCCAGCTGGGAGGCTGGGTGGCCCCGGCGCCACCGCGGGGCCCGGCTGCCCCTTACCCTGTCCGCGGAGTTGATGTGCACCCCGCAGTGGATGAGGTGCTCCACGATGTCAAGGTGGCCGGTGCGGGTGGCCACATGGAGGGGGGGGCTCAGCAGCTGGGCCAGGGGCAGACATGCGCCGGGCGGCATCAGTGCCGCCCTCACGGCTGCTGTGCCCCGCGGTGCCCAGCGCCCCATGGCCCCCGTGTCCCGCCTCACCTTGTCCTTCAGGTTGAGGTCCGCGCCGCGGTCCTGCAGCAGCTTCACCACGTCCAGGTGTCCCCCCCGGCAGCCCCAGTGCACGGCAGTGCAGTCCAGCTGCACGTGCAGAGCCCGGTCACGGCGGGGGGCACCACCAGCCTGGCCCCGCTCCCTGTCCATGTTCCTGTGTCCGTGCCCAGGCCGAGCCTGGCCCGTGGCACCTCCATGCTCCTTGCAGAGCATCACCTCCTGCCCGGCCCCATGTGTAGGCACAGGGGACCCCAAACTGCTGCTGCTCTGGGCAGGGGTCCCAAGCTCACCCGGTCCCTGAAGTCGACGGTGGCGCCGCTGTCCAGCAGTTTCTGCAGGATGTCTATGTGTCCCTCCAGCGCGGAGCGGTGCAGGGCCGTGCGGTGGAACTGGGGGAGCAGGAGCCGTGCTGGTTGCTGCCCCCAGTCGTCACCATGGGCACAGCCAGGCACAGCAGCGTGGGGCGAGCGGGACATCGGTGACATCCCCCCACAGTTCCGTGCCCGGGTGCCCGTCATGGGGGCACTGTGCCAGAGGCGTGTCAGCCTGCGGGCAGCTCTACCTCGTCACATGTGTCTGGGGAGCCTCCATCTGCCAAAAACTTCTCGATGACGCGGATTTTTCCCTGGACGGCGGCTCGCAGGAAGGTCTCTGGCTCCACAGGGCCCTCCTGGGGGCAGGGCAGCCAGGACATGGCACCGGATGGGGACGGTGTGGGGCTTTTTGTACCCAGCTGTCCCCGTGGAGGACACAGCCGCTACCCGCGTCCTGGCTCCCCATCCCGGAGATGCCCCC